GGAATGTGGAAGCTCTGGGCAGGTCTCTTCATCCCTCTGAGGAGAAAAAGAAATAGCATGACTGACTATTAACGAGATGGTCTATACAAATGGCTTTATGGACTCAAAGAAAACACTTTAAGACACTTCAAAAAAATTACTAAGTGAGCATTAGTCTAGAAAGGCAGAGAATATTCTCTTCTGACCACAAAATCTTTTCTTGAAAGAAACAGTGAATGGCTCTCTAGATCATCATTATTATCAAAGGACGTTGATAAAACGAGCTTGGGAATCCAGGTGAAGAAAGAAAGGCGGAAGTGGGTGCAAAAAAAAAAAAAAAATTCTGGTTACTATTTAATTCAGTTGGAGATGTAGTACTCTATGGACTAAAGGTCCTGAACTCTTCCTTTGTGTTACATTTTTTTCCATTTCAAAGAATAAAAGAAAACTTGTTGGAATAGTCCATCAAAACAACTGCATCTACACTAAAACAAAGAAACCAAAGAAAACAAAAACAGTGCTTAAACACATCATCCCTGTAACAATTTGAACTACTGCTCACCTTCTGTGACTGAAAGTAAGAAAACATCACAGCATCAATCTAAAGCTTTGGGATAGGAGGTCATTTCCTCTTGGAGAATTTTGCTGCCAGGTAATGCTACAAGATAGACGATGAATACCAGGCTGAATGTATCTGAATGAGTTACTGGAGTGTAAACCAAGACAGAGCACTTGCTAAGGGCTATTGAATGATTTGTGAATGTCACATTTGGAGTAGCAGCTAAAAAGAAGTCTTCCCTGGGATAAGAAACTACAGAACTTTGAAGGGTTCATCTGTCCCTTTGGATAGAGAGAAAGTGAGCTTCATTTTCTAAGACCTTGGGGAAACGTAACGTTAGAGCTGAATAGAGCACAGATGATAATTAAATTATCAAGATGAAAATAACCTCAGTCTCTGAAATATTCACAACAGAAACCCAGAAATTTTGAGCAAAGAGCCTTTATATGCTTCTCGCTAAATGTGAGACGATAGTTTAAACTTTCAGCTCATTACAGGATAAAAACCCTGCTAACGTATCTGGCCTGATATCTTGGGCAGCTTGAGTGAAATACAAACTTAAGTATCCTGAAAGATCCCCCCAAATTAGGCTAACAGCAGACGTCCTATGACCACAGACTCGGGAATGGTTTCGCCATGGCTGTTGACTGTGTCTCCATCCATGTATTTCTACCACGGGATTTACACATCTTCAGTGAGAGAAATGAAAAGGAAAGTTTTGAGAAGGGCTGGGTCCTTCCTAGGAGATGTGGTGATCACATTTTCCATAAGATTCTGAGTGTTTCCCATTACAGTTTCCAATCTACCTGCCCGTAAGCATAACATCACAGTGTCTCTGATGTAATTCCTCACCACAGTTTAATGGAAACTTATTTTGATGAAAAAAAAAGTTATTTCCTTCTCAAACATAGTCACCATGAATTTACTGCCTGCAACAGATGATGTGATCTGGTGTAAGGTCTTAAAAAAGCAAATCTTTTAGACTTGATAAAGTCTTCCCCATGCCCATTCTCCCAGTTGAATTCTTAAGATATGATGCCTGTCCAACCATAACAGGGCCAACATTTCAGCTCACTGGTCCTAAAGATCCTTAGTTATGAACAATCTGTCTTTATATATACAGGTACCCCCTCCCTGTGAATTACACTTGGTATTAATAATGAGAAAAAGGTTATTTTTCTAGCAGCCTTGTATAGGTTATATAGATCACGACTATGAGTCCCAAACTGTGTGGAAAGATGGCCTGGGGCAGTACAGCAAACTCATGGGGGCACTCTGAGTGTTTAAAAGAATTAAGAGAAACAGCAATATTCGGCACCCATTGGACTTCGTATGAATGACTAGCTCAAGGGAGCTCACAGTTTCAACACTAGATTTTGAAACACTATTTTTGATGTCACATATTTGCAAATCTGGTTTTTCAGCAGTAGCTATGAAGGAAAGCAAGTACCATGGGGAAAATCAATGTGGAAAAAGAAGTGAGAATGGTGATGTCTGATCAGATTCCAAGACATGAGAAATAGTGCATTCTCCACAGGCACACACATCCCATTAGTAAGTAGTTGTGGTTATTTAAAAATTAGTTCGGGCTTCCCTGGTGGCGCAGTGGTTGGGAGTCCGCCTGCCGATGCAGGGGACAACGAGCTCGTTCCCCGGTGTGGGAAGATCCCACATGACGTGGAGCGGCTGGGCCCGTGAGCCATGGCTGCTGAGCCTGCGCGTCCGGAGCCTGTGCTCCGCAACGGGAGAGGCCACAGCAGTGAGAGGCTCCCGCATCGCCGGAAAAAAAAAAAAAAAAAAAAAAAAAAAAAAAAAAAAAAAAAAAAAAAAAAAAAAAAAAAAAAAAAAAAAAAAAAAAAAAAAAAAAAAGTTCATCATTTAAAATTTTCGATTTATGTTTATCATTTTTTCATACAGTTACTGAGTTGTTAGGATGTAAAGGCTTATGAAGGTATTTTGACCTAATGACCTTATGTATGGAATTGTTAGGTATTTCTTTGGGCTCAGGGGTGCCATGAAAAACATTATTGTGACAGCAAAGGCTTCAGTGAACCTGAAATTTGGGAACATCCAGACTCTGTAGAAGGCACTCTGTGGAGCTGTGTCGCTCCCCTCCGCATATGTCAGTGTGTCCTGCTGATTTCAGGCACACCTCCTTCTTAATCTCTTTCTAATGTTCATCATCATCATCACAATGAATTATCTGTGACATGAGTTTTGTGAAACAGCATTTCATTTTCAGGGAAAATTAAATATAACTTTAGAAAACTTCGGTAAAGAACAGACCAAATAATGAAAGAAGAATTCTTACCAGGCCAGGAAGTTCACAGCATTTGTCTTTACTGGCCCATGATGTGGAACAAATAATATCAAACATCTGTAACTGGAACTTCAATTTAAAAAGAAAATTGTCATTCAATAAAAGATATATAGATACACACTGTGCTTATAATTGTAATGATTTCATAGTATGTATTACATAATAGAACACCAATACATTTATAACATAATATTACAGTGAATAAATTAAAAAGTCATTCTAACAATATCAATCTTTGTTCCTCAAACATACAGTGATTTAAGATTTTTGTCAGTAGTTACTCCATCCACCATCCAAACCCCCTTATTTAGCACAATTCCTCCTTCCGTCTCTACCTAAGAAAGCTTAGTGCCTCTGTTGAAGTCCTCCCTGTCCTGTCCATCACAGTTACTCCAAGTGCCTCTGTAATCCCAAAATGCTCCATACATCTTTTATAGCATATGTCCCACCATACAGTACAATTATTTATATTTTCTTCTCCTCAGACTGGGAGGTCATCAAAGAACATAGAACCACTTATTCATCTTTGTGCCCCCTATCATAACATGTGGCATGTAGAGAATTCCCTGGTGGTCCAGTGGTTAGGACTCCATGCTTCCACTGCAGGGGCATGGGTTTTATCCCTGGTCGGGGAACTAAGATTCCACATGTCATGCTGTGCGGCCAAAAAAAAAAACTTGTGAAAACATGTGGCATGTAGTAGGTATTCATGATGAAGACTTGTTGAATTAATTCTGACTTTCATCGTTCATGCATATATTTGGCCACTTTCTTTTCAGTGCATAATGCAAGCCAGATACCATGTAGACCTCCTTTAGGATATGAAAATGAACAAAACCAGAGTTCTGCCCTCAAAGAATTTATAGGGAGTAAGAGACAGACACATAAATACTGTTCACAATGTGGTGTCATGACAGACTCTCATACGGTATTGTGAGAATCTGTGCTAAGTGTATTTTTATTTAAGCCATCGATCACACCATAAATATTTAGACAGTCTTGTTCTACTCATTTACGTTGACAACAAGTTAATGTATATTGTGAAATATTTAGAAACATCATTATAATATCATTAAGGGCTCACACTAGCTTCATGATGCGACCATTTCTAATGCTATATTTCTTCCTATATTATTTTCAAATATCGAATATCATCAGAAGTTTAGTATTAATAGACACACACTACTATATATAAAATAAACAACAAGGATCAACAGGGAACTATATTCAGTATAATAACCTATAATGGAAAAGAATCTGAAAAAGAATAGACATTATCTATCTAGCTATCTAGCTATCTATAAGTGAATCACTTTGTTGTACACCTGAAACTAACACAACATTGTAAATCAACCATACTTCCATTTAAAAAAACAAAAAAGAAAAAAGTGTCATCAATTACAGAGCTGGGAGAAAGATGAAATTCTTTGCATTTTAAATCTGTAACTTTCCTTCAGCAAGCGGTGTTTTCAGCAAAAGCTGGAAATGCTTGGTGCCTTATTTTCTCTCATCCCTGTCAAGGGTCCCCTGGATGAAGATGAGAATACTCAAGTAGTTGGTATGACTGAAATAGGTTACTAACAATGCTTCCAGCATCACAAAAGAGCCTGCCCTATCTGACAGTAAAGAAAATGAAGTCAGGCTTTCTCTTGTTATACCCAGGAAGAATTGTGCCTTGCTGCAAACATCCTTCCCCAAGTGAGTTTTGCAAGATTCATAAAATGACACAAAATTTGAAAGCAGATCCATAAATCAAGACATCCTGTTTTCTTTTTTCAATATAAAACCATTGTGTTATTTGAAGAAATACTGCATGATTCACTATTCTTTTTTTTTTCTGTATTAAAAAAAAAATTTTTCCCAAAGGGTATGATATTTAAGTCTGCTCAGGGAAACCATACAACAAAATTATGACCATTAAAAAATTAGGTTTTTAAAATTAAAGCATTTTTAAAGAACACGGCTGCTAATTTTCATGAACAGCAATAGCAACAAAGATATTTCAAGGAGCATAAAGATTAGGAGGCTATGGAGCTAGGCTGCCTGGGTGTAATCCACTCACAAGCTAAGTCACTTGAAACAAATTATTTAATGTGTTGGAGTCTCAATTTTCCTTACCTATAAAGTTAGGAAAATAATAGTAGCTATTCAATAGTAGCTATTCATTAGAGTAATAATAGTAGCCATAACAATAAAATGAACTCATAAAGGGAAATATTTAGAACAGTTCCCGGAATACAGTTATAAATAATAAATATTATTTATTTTTTCTTTTTTTAATTATTTTTTAAATAAATATTATTTTAATGTAACATGTACAAAAGCCCTTTTATAACTGATCTTTAAGCTGTAGGAGTATATAATACAGAGGCCAAAATAGCAGAATGAGAATGAAAGTGATGCAATATTGAGAGCAGAAATAGAACAGTAGTTTGTGTCCCCAATAATCAATGTTTTGGTTGAGAAAAATCTTAGCAAATAACAACAGCAGAAAACACTTGTTGAAAAACTTACTATGTGCCAGGCATTATCCTAAGGACTTTGCCTATATCATTTAATCTTTCAATCACCACTATGAGGTATGATAATAGTAATGTCAACCCCATTCTGTAAATTAGGACTTGGGACGAAAAAGTCAAAGTAATTTAAGCACATGTTGAAAGCTGAATTCTGGCTGGGATTTGAACAGCACACCTCATTTTCTTGTGGTTTATTTTGCAGTAAACAGATCATTAGTCTAATGTTTAAAATGTAGATACCCCAGCCTAACTTGACAATGCCATTTGTCTGGGGACATTTATTAAATGGGTCCCATTATGACAGCATTAGATAGATTCAGTTAATTCTGTAAGTCATTCATCCATTAAGAAATTTCCCATTTCTGAATAGAGCCCTCAGTGTGAACACATTTTAGTGAATGGAAAGATTTATTTAAAGCAAAGTCTTTTTTAACTAGTCCCAGGATATACCAGGCTTTCTTGAAGTTTTTCGAATTCACTGCCCAACCACCTATAACAGTATAATGTCTCCATATAAACCTTTGGCTAAAATTCCCCTACCCTATTGAGTTACTGAGATTCTTATGAGTTCATTTTATTTATTCAAGAGGTCGAATACCTACTAAATGCTGAATGAGGCTGATACTATCATTTGAAGAATGCTTGTGGGCTGTCTTTTCTTTTTCAAGTTAGATGAAGTCAGCAGCCTTTTTTGTGTGAGTACAACAAATTTATTCATAATTGTTTTGCATTCGTAATAGTTTAGATTCCTCGGCCTTTATTTAGAGACTTCTTTTCCAAGGCACATTTCTGGGGATTGTTCTTTAAAAATCTGGCTTTTATTCCAGAAGCAATTACACACACATTTATACAAATTATGGAGGAAACATTACAGAGATGACATGTCCAAAGATCTTATATTTGAGTGCCTAAAAGTGCAAGACAATATGGTTCAAAATAAATCATACTTCAAGTGGCTAAGAGGCAGCCCCTTTTCACTTCTGCAACTTTTTCCCTTTGTAACTGACTGAACATTATGAAAAAAAAAATCTGGCCAAATAAAAAAAAGTACCCTCCCACTTTCACTTTTTATAATCTCTTTCAAGGGAATACTTAGACAATTACAAGCACTTTTTCATTACTGGACATTTTTGTTTGGGTGTAGCACAAAAGGCAAGTCATTTGGGGTCAGATGTTAGCATGAAAATAAGATTAAAATATTTCTTGGCAGTTGAGTCACTGTGATCCGTGAATGGAAATTAAAATGTACCCCTGGCTCAACTTTCCACTCAGTACCAGTTTTCATCTGTTGATTTTTTTCCTAGTATAACATTTTTAAGCTTGTAATTTGAAGTCAAGCTGTACCTGAACTTATACAAATATTTAGAGAGCTTTACATTGCCTGAGAACATAGGAGAAAGAGTCCTGAGGACCTAGGCCATGTTCTGCTTTTAAATTGGTGTGTAAATTTGATTGATTCCACCTCCAAACTAAGATTTATTAAGCCTTTATCACTTGTCACCTATTGAACAGGGTGTTTTTACTTGCTCGCCCTCAGCTTACTGAATTTAAGGGAAACCATGATGGCACTATTCAATTAGGAGATGAAAAGGAACAGCTGTTGTAGTTGTTGGTAGTAATGAGAATGTTTAGGTGTAGACATGCTTGGGGGGAACATTTTGATCACGTTTACTTCAAGGTTGTAATTCAAATAATGGTGAGTTTTTGAACTTGCCAGTGAATAGACAGGGCATATGGTCACTGTTACAGACCAGATTCCCTCCTCTGCCTTAAATTCTATCATAATCAGTCTGAACCAAGGGAAAAGAGCTCAGAATGGAAATTGGGTAACCATATGCAACTCAGATACAAGCTCATATCTCACTTTCCTCACTTTTGAAAGGGGATTCCTCCCTAACTTATTCAAGTCTCAGTTTCTGCATCTATAAAATGGGGATAATAATAAGTATCTCTTCCTAGGGTTATTGGAGGATTAAACGAGATAATATCAGAAATGTTCACACTGCCTAGTCCATAGCAGGCAATAAATGTTAGCCACTATCATCATTTTAAGGAGTTAAAGATACAATCCAGTGAAAACACAACCATGTCCTTGCAATTTAAAAACACTTGTTTCTAGAGGATCATTGACTAGTCTACTATTGATTCCTACATAAAAGCTTTAACTCTAAATAAAATTACTAAAAACTCCATAACTTGTATTTGTCTTTATTTACACATCAGAGGGCTAAATAAATGTCAGTTGTATAATTATATGTGTTAGATTTGAAAAGGTGGAAAAAAGACACTAACAAACATAATCAATGCCAGAAGCTCAAAGTTTTTCTTGAATTATCTCTGACTGGCAGCATGATAATTTCATTAGGTATCAGAAAAGGTAGAAGAAACTTCTCAGGAGAAAGAAGATTGGAAAGGAGAAGCCCAGTTGTTAAGTTTCTTCCCATGTGTGTTTTGACGGCTAAATTAAACATGCCTATTAGTCTAGTCCCACTAGGGACTTTTGCTGCATGTAGAATCTTGCATTGCTGAATGCAAGTTGTTTTTATTATGAATATGAGTAATTTCAATACAGTAGTTACTATATCCCTAAATCCATTAATCTCTCCTCCACTCAACTTTGGTTTAAAAAATCTGTAGTCTTTAAAGACTGATAATTTAGAGTTCTTCCATCACTTGACAGTTTTTGAATCATTGCTGAATTTGCCAGGGAATGCTTACCTGTAAACTACGCATCCCTCTTAGATGATAATTACCCCTCCTGGAACGACCCCAAACTTGTACATTACACATTCCCTTTTGCATATTATATCAAGATTATATTAGCAATGTATGATTTCTAAATTGAGAACTGAAGACTGAAGCTTCTCTCTTGCCTTGCCCTGAAACAGTTAAGTAATAAACCAAAAAAGCAAGTGAGTTTTCAATCACATTCTTGAGATCTACTCTAATACCATCCATTTCAACATAATCAAATTCCTCAATAAGTGGGTAGACTAAAAATCTATTTAGTAATCCTTTGCAGACTTCTAGATTCTAGCAAAAGCTACAGCTTTTTTCCTACTAGGCTTACAAAGAACTCTTTAATGATTGACTTCTATAAATTCCCCTTTGTCTCCTACTGGGTGGAAGTTACCACAGAGGGTGCTCTGTTTAATTGATTTTCTGTCATGGTCAAAAGTAAAGATTTATCACCAGTAGGCCTGACACCTACAGTCATTTTTGCTTTCAGAAATAAATTCTGTAATATTTAATTGGTCACACAATTGGAGTAAAATTACTACGTAGAGTGTAATTTGAAATACAATTAATTTGTAACTGTGATTATAAAACTGTAGTTGTAAAGTATGGATTATAATTAGGAGATGGTATGACATATATTAGCGGACTGTTGTCAATACCACACATGGAATACTATACATGCAAAACATTTATGAAAAGACATGATACAATTCAAATAGATGACTTCCTATTTAATTCCTATCAAGTGTTTCTTGAGAAAGTACTCTGTTCATACGAATTTATTAGCTACTGTGATGTAGGGTAGACGTGGGTCATTGCAAATGAAGACGAAGACATGGTTTCTGTTTTGAGGGGTTTATACTCTGGCTAGAGAAGTGAAATGCAGTTATATGAAAGAGCAAGAAAATAATATATGACTACAAATAATCAAGGGTTAAGCAAGTACTAGAGTTTTAGAAAAGCTGAGATGGAAAAGGTATGGTGGACATTCTTCAATAAAAATAGCTGCTCTTCATTGAATGGCTACTAAGTGTCAGGGATTTTATATGCATTATGTCTAAAATAAAAAAAATAATGATAGCACTAAGTGATATGGGCCATAATCTCATCCACCTGGAATTGTTTCTCTTTCTTAAATTAGAGTCTATTCATTCATCCTTCTAAGCATCCATCTATATACATCCATTTATCCATACAAGGTATCCGTAGTTTGCCAATTCTGGAGCCTTGTAAATCCTGAAGTGTGCTATCATAAAAGTATCTTCCATGAAGCAGAAGGTGAAATGTTTCCTAATCCACATGGCATACCACAAATTAAGGGGAGATAACTCCTCAGTATCATGTAAACATTCTTAAAAGTCTCTTACCACAACTGAAAACAAAAGAGCCTTCCATAGCTGTTATATTCCCTCTTTTCAAACATCTAATCCATAGTTCTCCAAAGCAAAGTAGAAACAAAAGTACTTTTAAAGATACTTCAAAGCTAAGTGTTAAACTAATTAGCACACATCTATGAAGATCTGAAAGTGTCAATATACCCTGATTGTACACAAGGATTTCATTTCTATTGTTACCACAAAGGGAAATGCCATGAAACAGCAAACTGTCCCGAAGTAAATTCCCTCACCACTCTGGGACTGTTTCCTGGTATATAAAGTGAAGGGGCTATACTAGAGCAGAGGAATTAGAACTGTGTTCCTCAAAGCGCCCTTAGGGAACATTGGAGGATGGCAGCACCTGCTACCCCATGTCCCCTCTCCCATTCAATCAACATGGGTGTGTTTTAATCGTACTCATTTATTTGATATACTAGAAGACTTCATTTGTACTAAGTGATTTCAGCTTAAAAACACTTTGAGAACCACCAGGTCCTTCTAAAATTCCATATAGCTGGTTAGTTCTGCAGATCTATGAAAGCATAAGGCAATAAGAGTGAATCATAATTAACCTGATTATTCTGCTACACAGAAGTGTAGATTTGAATATTTGGAATTGCTTTCAAGAATAAAACTCCCTCCAGGCTAATTGGTTCTAATTATAGAATGACTCAAATTAGAGAATGTTGCTAATTAGCTGTGAATATGTGGTGTTAAAACAAAAGCTTGTGTACGCTGCTCTTTTTTGCGGGTAGTGACTGAAGGGAAGGTGATTTCTTTGTCAATTCGAAGTCTCCTCGTCTGAAACTCCATGTTGTATGATGAAAAATATATCTTAGAATGATTTGTTATTTAAATAACTATTAACAGTTAAAGGGTTAATTTTACATTAGCCATAGCAAGAATCTAGTTTTAAAATGCCCAAATCTAACTCAAATGAGAGACTTATGTCAATTTACCGTGTATAATAATAACATATTTTATTCGGATTTGTATCTGCTTATATAAATGAGGTTCATTTACAGTTTTGATTCTCATTAACAAACCATTTATGCCACACTATTTTATTTGAATTTTAAAATATGAATATTTTACTACTTGAATTTTAAAATCCATTTAGAAAACAAACTAGTCTAATTCTTGGAGCATTCTCCTTATAATATAGCAGAAGCATATTGCAAGAGCTTTGAACGTTCATGTTTTAATTCATCTGAAGAGGCCATTATCTACTTGTTTATCCATTCATCAATCTATCATTCATCCAGCCCTCCTTCCATCCATCCCTTTACCAAATTTTTCCCCTGGAAGATAGATAATTATATTTCAAGAGGATTTTTTTCTTTAACAATAACACAGATTCACTTATTTATCCACTTACTGGTGCAGAGTTTCCATTTGGTCCTCTTGATCTAACCATTCTCCCTAGGACTTCGACACCATCTAATGTGATATTAGACGATGCATTTACTGCCTTCTCACCCACTTGCTTGCAGTCAATAACCACTTTGGCCAAAGTCTTGCTGACAACAACATGTAGCTGATAAAAGTAAAGATGTTTTCGAAGGTAAGCAGCAGGAGAAAATATCAACCAAATTTACATAATTGCATGACTCCTCACCAAAAAGTATGGAAGAGAAAAGAAGGAATTCTGTCACTATGTGTTTTGCTTAAGGAAAAAGGTTCTACTCTTACCATTTCCATGACTGTCCCACATTCAGGCACCATCTCTATGTTGTTGTGTTTTTTTAAACACTAATGAAATCTCACATGCTTCTTATTTCCCCTGTAATATTTCTTGGCTACTTTGTGACTGACTCTGCCTAACCAAGAAAAGAATCATGTCTAGAGGAAGTTGGTAAATAAATGACAATAATTCCAAAGAAATGCTAATGGGACTATTTTGAACCATGAAGTAATATATCATCTGCATCTCATGTGTTTTTAAGATACCTTGTACTTCTGGTTGCACAGTCCGATTAAACCAGAAAAAAAAAAAACATTTTTATGCAACTTTTCTTATGCAAGAAAGAGTCAGAATTTTGTTATGCAATTGTTCTTATACAGTTATGGTATTCAAAACCCCAGAAAGTAGCAAAGTTGTGTAGATTAGATAGATCTGACCACATTCTACACCAGGAGACAGAAGGCAAGATGAAGACTGCTTTGCAACACCCCTTCCCTCCCTCTGACAGTACAAGAAGGGCATGGTTAAGAGGCAAAGCTTTTTGCAGTACCACTTAGTAAACTCTCTGCTCTCCAGCACTCTTGGTGTTGCATTCCTTAACAGCCCAGAGATCAGCGGGCTTATTCACTAAACACAAAGGAAACAGTAAAGTTTGGAAGGAAGCATGTCTATTCCAGTGATCACCAAAACAAAGTGTTTCAGAGATGTGAAATGTGAATGAACAGAGTTCTATCACAAGTGCCAGGTTAAAATAAGAACAACTAAAGTCAGGTTTTACCAGCTTCCTCCGGGTAACTTATATAATGGCAGTGATGGGTTGTCTGTCTGTGTGTGTGTATATATATATATGTCTCAGTGCAATCTGTCTACATATTTCAACATGATTTGGCAGCTGGTATTTATCTATATTGGTGGCCAGGTAGACCAGCAATCTGTCCTACATCATACATAAAGTAGTGAACTAACAACTATCTGCTAAATAATACAGTACCTTCTACTACATGGTTCCTCAAAGTAAGAACCTGGACCACTTCTGTGGTAGGGCACCAAAATTTGCTATCCCCAAATGTCTCTTCGGTATGCGGATTGTTTCAAGCTGAAAACAATCAAGGCCCAAAAGACTCAGGAAGAAACTTTGACCTTGCTTCTAACCGCCTAAAAGGATTTACACAGAAGTCCTGTTCCCAGAACGGAGCTATCACCAGAGATATCTGCAAAGAATATAGGCTAGGTACAGTGGGGGAAAATCTGCGTCCCATTGTCTCTGCAGGCCCAGCAAATATTTATTTACCAAACATTTGCTTTTCCATCTCCATGTGAATTACCTTCCTTCCCTCTGAAGTCCCAAACTACCACCCGCAAAATCCTCTTTTGTCTTTAGCTGAAGATGGTAATTAAGGTGAAGCTTTCGGCTATTTTGGTGAGATACTCAGTTTTTCCTGGGTCTCTCCCGTGTATACATGTTATTAAACTTTTGTTTGAGTTGTTCCCGTTAATCTGTCTCATGTCAATTTAATTCTTAGGCAGCTAGAGGGACCTAGAAGGATAGAGGAAAATATCTTCCTTCCGACACTATCAATATCCCCTGCGGTACTGGATAAAAATGTACATTTTAGGGCTTCCCTGGTGGCACAGTGGTTGAGAGTCTGCCTGCCGATGCAGGGGACACGGGTTCGTGCCCCAGTTCGGGAGGATCCCACATGCCGCAGAGTGGCTGGGCTCGTGAGCCATGGCCGCTGAGCCTGCACGTCCGTAGCCTGTGCTCCGCAACGGGAAAAGCCACAACAGTGAGAGGCCCGAGTACCGCAAAAAAAAAAAAAAAAAAAAAAAAAAAAGGTACATTTTAGAGTCCCATCCCAGAACTACCAAATCAGAATGTCAGGGCATTGTTTACAAGCCCCACAGGTAATTCTTACTTCAGGTGAAGTATGAGATCCAAAGCTCTATGGATTTTTTGTTTTACTATCTTCTGTTGCTTTGCCCACCACAAATAGAATAAAAAATATACGTATACAAGGCATTACTCACCTTGTGAAAGCTTCCATAGAAAATTTTCCTAATTTCAGGTCCTTCAAAAGTAACAGTTTGAAAATCCCCACTGTAGTCATGGTTGAAATATGTTAGGGTTTTCCCACCATCTAATCAAAGAAAGGAAAAGAAAAACATTTGAGAAAGTATTAAAAGGAGTAATTTTTTAAAAGTCAACTCAAAATAATGTAACCTTTGTTTTCAGGCTGTGTTTAGGACAAAGTGACAAGTAGGTAAGGAAATGACCTATAGTCCTTGGGTTGCCCCAGGTTTTCAATTGGCCAGATTAACTAACTTAACCATGTAGTGATGATGATGAGGTAAGGACCCTGACATATACTGTTCCTCTGTAGTTCCTTGCCTATATTCCCATTCCCACTACCCTTTTGGGAGACGGTTGTCTGAAGTTGGAAGTAGAGGCAGACAAAAAGGAAAAATGAAGTTAGTCAAATTGTTGCCAGAGCTGCTCCAGATCTTTGCTCAAAACCCATCAACCGTCTAACCCGCACTTTTGGCAGGGATG